GCATGACAACCACCCAAAGCATCCATCCAAATCCACAAAGGAATGGCTTCACCAGAAGAAGAGGAAAGTTGTGGAATGGCCCAGCCAGAGCCCAGACCTGAATCCGATGGAAAATCTGTGGGGTGATCTGAAGAGGGCTGTGTGCAGGAGATGACATCGCCATCTGACAGATTTGGGGTGTTTCTGCAAGGAAGAGCGGGCAAATATTGCCGAGCTAGGATGTGCCGTGCTGATAGACTCCTCCCCAGGGGAGGACTTGACAACTCATGGGGCCCCCGGGCAATAGGGGATCATGGGGCTCCTGTGTCCTTGCCCAAACTAAAAAAAGCCTATGAAAAAAGGTACCAGGGGCATCTCATGGAGCCCCCTACTGACCCCGGGCCCACGGGCAGTGCCCGAGTTTCCAAAATGGTCAGTCCGCCCCTGCTCCTCCCCAAAAATACTGAGTGCCGGAATCGCATCAAAAGGGGCTTCAACAAAGGCTTAGTGTAAGGGTGTGAACACTTATGCAGCCAGATTATTTTAGTTTTTTTATTTTTACTTCCCTCCACCTAAAACATTTCAAGTTGTTGTTCAGTCGAGTTTATAGGTCACATTAAAAGGTGGAAAAAGTTCTGAAATGATTGATCGTTGCCTCATTTTTTGACATCACAGAAACCTGACATTTTACCCGGGGGGCGTGAAGACTTTTTATATCCTCTGTACAATGATCCAAGTTGGACCGATGTATACAATATCCGTACCCAGGGGAAACTCGGGCACCATTTGGAAACTCGGGAACCGCCCGAGGGCCCGGGGTCAGTAGGGGGCCCCATGATATGCCCCTGGTACCTTTTTTCATAGGCTTTTTTGAGTTTGGGCAAGGACACAGGGGCCTCATGATCCCCTATTGCCCGGGGGCCCCATAAGTTGTCAGTCCGCCCCTGTCCGTACCTGTAATTCTTCAACTCCTAAATCAACCCCTCGCAGTGAATGAAACCAATTCCGCGCTCACCTTCTCCAATGCCGAGGGAGCAGATGTGCCGCAACAATGGAGGTCCTGAAGGTTATCGTTCACCAAGCGCAGCTAATGAGAAGAACTCGTCAGTCGCTGGATTCGGCCTGTGGCGGGATCAACACCTCGGATGGCAGAAGTCAGCCAGTCGTACATCCAGTTAGACATTAACTACATCAGCAGAGTGAATGGCGCCCCGTGGCGTCTGGGTGTTCTGCTTGATTGCTTATAGGAGCTGAACCAGCCAGTTGCTCGGGAGTCGGATGGCAGCACATCCAGCTTTTAGCATCTGGAAGTTAATGATTTGACTTTTTGTGAAGAGTTTTGATTTTGTATGTAAGCGGACTGTCACTGTAGGAAAAGCGCGGTGTCACTTGGCAGAAGTTAAAGTGGGACTAATGCCTTAATTTTACCATAAAGCGGGAGTTCCGGCCCCCGCCACTTCCGCCCCCCCCCAAAAAAGTCAAAAGTCAGCAGCTACTGTGGCTGCTGCCTTTTAATAGTAGGGCACTTACCTGTCCATGCATCCAGCGGTGTCTCCTCATCCCGAGCGATTCTTCAATCGGCAGTCTGGTGCTGGCGCTGCCATCTTGATTAAGGGGGCTAGGGGTGGGTTTGGAGGACAGTGGTGGTGGGCGGGGGCTGGAGTGGTTGGTGGAGAGTGGAAGCAGTGAGGGAAGGATGCTGCTGGTGGTGGTGAGGGGTGCCTAATTTTAGTGGCTGTGGTGGGGGGAGTAAGTAGTGTGGTGGTGGGGGGGGGGAGAAAGTGCTGGTGGTGGGCACTCAATTTTAGTGGCAGTTGTGGGGGACCAGGGGGGCACCCAATTTTAGTGGCGGTGGTGGGGCGGGGAAGTCCTATTGGTTGTGGGAGGTGCCCAATTTTCATGGTGGTGGGGCCCCAGGGTGGAGGAAGTCGTGTTGGTGGTAGGGGGCGCCCAATTTTAGTAGCGGTGGTAGGGGACCAGGGGGCACCCAATTTTAGACCCTCGCGTTCACTTACATCTCTCCCCGGACCCCGCGTTCATACATCCGCTCTCCCCGGACCCCGCGTTCACTACATCCGCTCTCCCCGGACCCCGCGTTCACTACATCCCCGAACCCCGCGTTCGCTCTCCCGGACCCCGCGTTCACTACATCCGCTCTCCCCGGACCCCGCGTTCACTACATCCGCTCTCCCCCCCCCCTCCCCGACCCCGACCGGACCCCCGCGTTCACTACATCCGCTCTCCCCGGACCCCGCGTTCACTACATCCGCTCTCCCCCGGACCCCGCGTTCACTACATCCGCTCTCCCCGGACCCCGCGTTCACTACATCCGCTCTCCCTGGACCCCGCGTTCACTACATCCGCTCTCTCACACTACACAGAACATGGAAATGCAATTATTTTTTAGTAAATATAAACTGCTAAATCCCTTTTCTCATTAGCAGTATATAGCAGTCTTGTGACTTCTATCAGTGTCCAGCAGAGCTCTTGTTAAAGCATGTAGGGAGTTTTCATTCTGCTCTAGGAGGATGCAGGACCCCTGACCTCTGTCTGAACAGCACTGATTGACCTCATGCTGATCACATGCACCCTCCCAATGAAAAAAAAAAAAAAAAACTTCTCTATCAATTACACACCAAACTGAGCATGTGCAGAGTGACAAGAATATAGTCAGAGAGAAGGAGAAATTATTGCTTATGAATTATGGGTGTAAAAGCAATCAGTGTAAAAAAAAAAAATCTTCATCACCCCCCACAAGTAGTACAGTGTCACCATGGTGACATTGTACTGCTAGGGTGACAGTATGTAAAACAAAAAAAAACATAATATAAAAAAAATATATATATATATATAATTTTTGGTTATAAGCTAATTTGGGTTATTTTTTTTTTTTAAATAAAAAGATAAGATAACTGAATACATTTTGGCCAAGATGTATGAAGAAATATTATTTATTTGCAAAATTTTCTAAGAAAAACATTTTTTTTTCACAATTTTTTGGACTTTTTCATTTCTATAGCAAAAAAAAATAAAAAAATCCCAGCGATGAATAAATACCACCAAAATAAAGTTTTATCTGTCTCCAAAAAAAGCTAAAAAATTCATATGGGTACAGTGTTGCATGACCGCTCAATTGTCATTCAAAGTGTGATAGCGCTGAAAGCTGAAAGCGACCGGACCGGAAGGGGGGGAAAGCGTCCGGACCGGAAGGGGGGGGGAAAGCGTCCGGACCGGAAGGGGGGGGAAAGCGTCCGGACCGGAAGGGGGGGAAAGCGTCCGGACCGGAAGGGGGGGGGGGGGAAAGCGTCCGGACTGGAAGGGGGGGGAAAGCGTCCGGACCGGAAGGGGGGGAAAGCGTCCGGACCGGAAGGGGGGGAAAGCGTCCGGACCGGAAGGGGGGGGAAACGTCCGGACGGGGGGGGGGGGAAAGCGTCCGGACCGGGAGGGGGGGGTCCGGGAAAGGGGGGGGAAAGCGTCCGGACCGGAAGGGGGGGGGAAAGCGTCCGGACTGGAAGGGGGGGGAAAGCGTCCGGACCGGAAGGGGGGGGAAAGCGTCCGGACTGGAAGGGGGGGGAAAGCGTCCGGACCGGAAGGGGGGGGGGGAAAGCGTCCGGGAAGGGGGGGGGGAAAGCGTCCGGACCGGAAGGGGGGGGGGGAAAGCGTCCGGACCGGAAGGGGGGGGGGGAAAGCGTCCGGACCGGAAGGGGGGGGGGGAAAGCGTCCGGACCGGAAGGGGGGGGGGGGAAAGCGTCCGGACTGGAAGGGGGGGGGGGGGGAAAGCGTCCGGACCGGAAGGGGGGGGGGAAAGCGTCCGGACCGGAAGGGGGGGGGGAAAGTGTCTGGACTGGAAGTGGTTAAAACAAAAAAAAACACACACACATATATAGGGGGGGGGGGAAAGTTACTTCCCTGCCTGACTGCCCCAGTACAGTGAACCCCGCATGCGCAGCGATGTGCATATTCGGCAATGCAGAATCTGACTGAACTCCTGCGGATGCGTGTCGGAGGAAATGCATCCCCGCCTGGGGCCAACGCCTGGGGCGGGCCGGCGATCGAGAACTGGAAGCCGGCCGCCTGAAGCGGTCAGTGGGGTGCCGCATCCCTGCGGAGGGGAGTGTAGTTCCGCTTTACCTGCTCTCCCAAAACACGAGGCAAGCCATGAATGATAACTGTACCAGTTACTTGTGCTCTCTTAGGCCAGGGGTAGGCAACCTGAGAGCCGCAGGACTACAAGTCCCATCATGCCTCTGCAAGTCATAGCTGTAACTGTCAGTTTTGTAATCTTTGCAATGCCTCATGGGAAATGTAGTTCCACAACAGCTAGAGAGCCGCAGGTTGCCTACCGCTGGCCTAGACAGATAATTGGATGACTGCACTCTGACCAGACAACTTCTTTATTGCGGTATATTTGTGTAAAACAACACAATGCAGCAGGAGAAATGAGACTGCCAACACGTTCGCACTATACAGCGCTTCATCATAGTAGTGATAAGCGTGGGACAACCTGAAGTTGTGTTTCGCAGTTTATGCTTGCTTGTGCTCTCAACCGGACGTCAAGCCCACCAATGGCTGGTGTCGTAACAGATCGCATGTGCATCACCATGGCAACTGCAGAGGTCAAGATGGCAGCTACCTTGGATGGGAGGGTTTAGTTCAACTTTAAGATTACGCTCCAAACAGGGAGCCCCTTTCCCCGAAAAAAAATACCCCCCCCGGATAATCTATTCCGGAATAAAAAGAACAAAAAAACAATTAAAAGCTCCAAATATTTACCAAAAACGTTGTCACGTGACACACCGGCTCCGGTGTCTTCTCTTCCTCCCTGCAGAGTGGAGGGTCCTTGTTTGGGTGTCTATGTCACTGCCTGAGTGAGGTGGACTCTTCCCATTGGTTGTCCAGTGGTTGGATCCAGGAGACGGCCTTGGTGTAATAATGTCACAGCGAGGGACGGCAACACGACTGGTCGGCAGTGGGCCAGTCATACAGGGGCATGGATAAGGGGGGGGAAATAGGGGGTTTCCTTCCCCCAGAGCAAACTCCTGACCCCTGCGCTCTACGCACTCCTGACCCCTGCGCTCCACGCACTCCTGACCCCTGCGCTCCACGCACTCCTGACCCCACGCACTCCTGACCCCTGCGCTCCACGACCCCACTCCCTCCCTGACCCCTGCGCTCCACGCACTCCTGACCCCTGCGCTCCACGCACTCCTGACCCCTGCGCTCCACACACTCCTGACCCCTGCGCTCCACACACTCCTGACCCCTGCGCTCCACGCACTCCTGACCCCTGCGCTCTGTGCGCTACACACTACTCTCCCCTGTGCTACACACCCCTTTCTTCACAGTCTTAAGCACTTCTGATCCCTGTTCTACGCACCCCTGACCTCTACACTCTATCTTAAGCATGTCTGACCCCTGCGCTCTGTGTGCTACGCACTTCTGTCCCCTGCGGATTTGGTTAGCAGGCCGTAGTTTGGAGTCCCCTTGTAAACCTCAGACATGAAACATGAACAAAGCACATCCCTCTATAGTGTGTACTTGTCTCAGTCCAGAGCACTGAGGGTCATTCGCTGCCTCCTTGCTCTGCTATCAGCATGAGTCACGTCTGATAAGTCTTCCTGACACCAAGAGAAAAATGGTGACAGAGGAGGGACCTCCAGCAGATTGACAGCCTCAGCACGGTTCCTGTGAGGTGCGTGGAGGGGGGTGTGTCCCTTCCCTCCAATCAGCTCTCAGAGCTCTCCTCATTGAGCTCTACAGAGTGCAACTTCAGCTCTCCGCCCCCTTTTTTCTGAACTCTCAGATAAGAGTTATAAATTCTAGGCTTTGAACGGGAGAAGAGAAGGCTATAGATAAACAGGTACAACTTATGTAAGAGGATTTGTTTCATCTCTGTGTATCATTCAAGGCCAGTCACTGCACTGGGGATTTGGGAGGGTTTACAGCCACTTTGAGGGCCAGTTCACACTCCATGTGTTTCAGTTGCTTTTTTTCTGCATCCAAAACGCACAGAAAGTTGGTGATCTGGTTGTCAGTGTCAGAGATCACATCAGCGCTTGCAGTTCCAGTGCGTTCCGGTGGCAGAAAAAAAAAAAAAGTAGAACAGGCTGCATTTTTCCTGCAGAGAACTGTACTGGAACGCGGTAAAACACATCACAAATGCATTGGAACACACCAAAAATGCACATGTCCCCATTTAAATTGAAGAAAAAGGGGGGGGGAAATGAACCAGAAAGCATCAAAAACGCACCGGAATGCGTAAAAAAGGCATCAAAAAAAACACATTGGAATGTGTCAAAAACACATAAAAAATACGCATGCAGAAACACATCCGGAACGCACAAGTCACCATTTAAAATTGAAGAAAAAGGTGGGGGAATTAACTGGAAATCATCAAAAACGCACTAGAACGCATCAAAAATGCATTAAAAAAACCGCACTGGAACTCACAAGTCCCCATTTAAATCGAAGAAAAAGGGGGGAAAAAAAAAGCGCGTTGGATTGTGCCAAAAACACATAAAAACACGCATGCAGAAACACATCCGGAAGGCACAAGTCCCCATTTTGATTGGAGAAAAAAGGGGGGGGGGGAAATTAACCGGAAATCATCAAAAACGCACCGGAACGCATCAAAAATGCATTTAAAAAAACGCACTGGAATGCACATGTCCCCATTTAAATTGAAGAAAAAGGGAGATAAAAATCAACTGGAAAGCATCAAAAACGTGTTGGAATGTGCCAAAAAACGGGGGGGAATTAACCGGAAATCATCAAAAACGCACCAAAACACATTAAAAACCGCACCAGAATGCACCATGTCCCCATTTAAATTGAAAAAAAAGGGGGAAAAATCAACTGGAAAGCATCAAAAACACACCGGAACGTGTCAAAAAAGACATCAAAAACGCGTTGGAATGTGCCAAAAACACATAAAAAAATACGCATGCAGAAACACATCCGGAACGCACAAGTCTTCATTTAGATTGAAGAAGAAGGGGGGGAATTAACTGGAAGTCATGAAAAACGCACCGGAACACGTAAAAAATGCATTAAAAAAAAACGCACATATCCTCATTTAAATTGAAGAAAAAGGGGAAAAAAATCAACCGGAAAGCATCAAAAAGACATAAGAAAAAAAGCGTTGGAATGTGCCAAAAACACATAAAAAATACGCATGCAGAAACACATCCGGAACGCACAAGTCACCATTTAGATTGAAGAAAAGGGGGGGGGGGGGGGGTGAAATCAACCAGAAAGCATCAAAAAAACGCACCGGAAAGCGTCAAAAATGCATCAAAAACGTGTTGGAATGTGCCAAAAACACGTCAAAAACACGCATGCAGAAACACATCCGGAACACATCTGCACTGCATTTCTATGGAGTGAACTGCCCCCTAAAAGCCAAAATAGATTGCAGTTTACCAAACATCAGATACGGTGGCTGCATTAGCTTTCTTTTTAGTCTTGTTCCTTTTATTTTCACCTGCTTGTCCTGTCAGTAACCACCTCCTGTCCTGGGGTGTCTCTACTCTGGAGGAAGGAGCACAGGGGACACCATTGTCAGTCTGGGGTAGGCGACTCGACTAACAAATTAAAGCCGAATTACAGCTCACAACTTTTTTTTTTAATTTCCTTTAAAGGTTTCACATAAATAACTAAAAGCTGATCGCTGTAAGCACCCCTGTCTCATCCCTCTAACTGCTACATCTGCAGGATAGCTTGTTATTTTTTCTTTTAAACAACAGACTTATTGGCTGAATCACCAAATATAAAATAGGAGGAAAGCCTAAAGAAAAAAAGAAAGAAAGAAAAACGAAGGCAGCCGCCACATCTAAGAATTGGTAAGCCGCAATATAAGAAATGTTTTGTCGACTAAAAATAAAATGGCAGTTTAGTCAAAAGACTACGAATCACATGACCCCATTCCTGTGCCAATGACATGCGATGTCTGTGCGCTGCGATCCGAGCCGTACATTTCATCGTACGCCTCAAATCGTATCCACATCAAAAAGGTGCAGGGCCAGGGGCGGACCTGGAAACTCTGGCACTGCCCGAGGGCCCGGGGTCAGTAGGGGGCCCCATGAGATGCCCCTGGTACCTTTTTCATAGGCTTTATTTTTGAGTGTGGGCAAGGACACAGGGGCCCCATGATCCCCTATTGCCCGGGGGCCCCATGAGTTGTCAGTCTGCCCCTGTGCAGGACCATTTTTTATTTTTTTTACCCGCACCTGAATCGCATTACTTGGTTTTTTTTTCGCCCGTGCGATGTGATTTCCGGCAATTGCGCTGCGTCTTGCGGTCTTTTTCGGGGTGCCGTTAATTTAACATTGACACGCGTGCCGGATCGCATGAACACCATGCGACTGCAATGCGGTGCGGGAAACGCACAGGATCCGCAGCATTTCCCCGCACCGCATCAGTGTGAACCCAGTTGGTTTACACCACAGAAACGCAGTCCAGATGCATTTCCACATGCGTGTTTGTGACATGGTTTTGGTGCGTTCCAGTGCAGTTCTGTGCAGCAAAAATGCAGCCTGTTCTACTTTTTTTTTTCTGCAACTGGAACGCGCTGGTACTGCAGGCGCTAATGTGAACTATGACATTGACAACCATATCCCTTACTTTTTGTGCGTTTTTGATGCGTTTTACCGCATTCCAGTGCAGTTCTGTGCAGGAAAAATGCAGCCTGTTCTACTTTTTTTTTCTGCAACCGGAACGCGCTGGAACTGCAAGCGCTGATGGGAACTATGACATTGACAACCATATCCCCTACTTTTTGTGCGTTTTTTGGATACAGAAAAAAAAGCAACTGAAACGCATGGAGTGTGAACCGGCCCTTAAGACTTTCTGTGCGTTTCGGATGCAGGAACCAAAAAGCAACTGAAAACGCATGGAGTGTGAACTGGTTCTTTAGCCCTGGTGCGGAATTTGCAGCATTTTAAGTGCGAATTCCACACCGCATCACAATCGCACCCCGTTCATGCGAACTGCTGCGGGTGTGTATGTTAAAGCGGAGTTCCACCCAAAAGAGGAAATACCACTTTAAGGATTGGTCCCCCGCTCCGCTTTGAGGGTTGACACCTTTGGGGAGCGGGGAAGGGAGGTACCCGAATTTGGCAGGTACCCACTCCCACTTCTGCTGCGATCACCTAGGCCAGGGGTAGGCAACCCGAGAGCCGCAGGACTACAAGTTCCATCATGCCTCTGCAAGTCATAGCTGTAACTTTCAGCTTTGTAATCTTTGCAATGCCTCATGGGAAATGTAGTTCCACAACAGCCAGAGAGCCGCAGGTTGCCTACCCCTGACCTAGGCGATTGGAAATGGAAGTTGTCCCCCCCCCCCCCCGTAGTCTTTTAGGACACGTGACAGGTCCCAGAAGTCTACGGGGCCATTCAGGAAGTGCGGCACTACTCGCGCATGCGCAGTGGGCACCCGGCTGTGAAGCTGCAAGCTATCACAGCCGGATACCCACACTGAAGATACCGGCCTCCTGGAATACAGGACGGCGGGGGCAACACGGGATCGTGGGGCGGGTGAGCGGCTGTTTTTTAAAAGTCAGCAGCTTTTATTTTTTTACAGAGTGAGTGGAACTCCGATTTAAATTTAACAACACCCCGAAAGCGGTCCGCAAAACGCGGTGCGTTGTGCAGAATCGGATCCCATAGGTGGGAATACCCGTGCGATCCGATTCTAATGCGGACCCGAAAAACAGGGTCCTGTATGTTTTTGGTGCGAATAGAGCCATACAAAATGTACGACTCCGATCCTGTGTGCGTCGTATGCGATATACCGCACCGCATGTATGTGAACCCGGGCTGAATATATATATATATATATACAGGAGAGCGTCCAAAGACTTCATGTACCATAGACTTGACATTTCTCAGCAAATAGCTGCACCCCCAAACTGTCCCTCACTGCACCCCCAACCCGCACCTCGCTGCACCCCCAACTCTGCCCCTCGCTGCACCCCACAAAACCCACTCGCTCGCTGCACCCACAAAACCGCCCCTCGCTGCACCCACAAACCGCCCCTCGCTGCACCCACAAACCGCCCCTCGCTGCACCCACAAAACCGCCCCTCGCTGCACCCACAAACCGCCCCTCGCTGCACCCACCAAACCCACAGCTCGCTGCACCCACAAACCTGCACCCACAAACCGCCCCTCGCTGCACCCACAAACCGCCCCTCGCTGCAACCCCCCGACCCTGCCGCTCGCTGCACCCCCGACCCTGCCCCTCGCTGCACCCCCGACCCTGCCCCTCGCTGCACCCCCGACCCTGCCCCTCGCTGCACCCCCGACCTGCCCCTCGCTGCACCCCCAACCCGCTCGCTCGCTGCACCCCCAA